TTGGATAGAACAGATGGAGTCCTTTGTAACTGCAGATGTGGCAGGAAGAGGAAAGGATGGGGTAAAACCAATTGTTTAGGCAGATCTGTGATAGCTTTTGCATTGTGTCTTGAAGTATAAGGAAATATTCAGGTACAAAACCATCTACATGTAATTTGTATGGAAGTTTGGTGTGAGACTGGGCTGGGTGTGGTGTGCCACTGCCTGTCATGGCAGCTACAGCTAATGCCAGTTTCAGATGGATGTTCTCATTCTAATACCACAAAATCCATGCAGAAACTTCCACCTCAAGAGCTCAACAGATTTCTTACACAGTGACAAATCTACAGCTCTGAGTGATCAAAGAATTCAGTGACAGCTATGTTGAGTCCTGGTTTTGCAAGTTAGACATCCCCATCATTTATGACATGAGTAGTTCTGATTGTACTGAGACTGCTCATCTTAAAACTCAGCATGTATAAAGGCTTGCAGGATTTTTCTCTCACCAGTATTGTATGGAGATGTCCTGTTAGCATATACTTAGAAATATATTTGTCATCATTAACCAGACATTTCCCCATTGATTGTTTTAGGCTGCAGATAATGACAGTGCAAAACAATCAATCTAGGGTCGTTTTTATACTCACCTATATTAGTTTATTAGGGATGGAGAGTGTTTTAAATACACTGTTCCTGTTCAATGCTGAGTGGAGCAGGTATGAGCAGAGCTATCAATGAATAATTTCAGTGTAAAGTGCTAATTGCTCATAGTGAATTAATTTTCAAGTCACTCTTGCATAGTGAGCAGTAGTTTCAGACAGGAAATACTGTGAGGAGAAAGAAATTTTAAATTTAATCCTTAGTTCACTTAAGATGAGCCTAAATTAAATTAACTTTAAAAGACTTTGCCTTTAGTCATGAGAGTTTATTTAGACCTGAAAGGTTTTATGTAGTTACATCCCCTGGATAGCTTTGCAAATGGTGACATTTGAAAAAGAGACAGTAATGATGCTCCAGTGCCAGCTGTGTGGGTTTTTCAGGAAGCTTTTTCAGGAAGCTGTCCATGGTCTGAGCTGATGGAGTTAGGGCCTGAGACACAGACTGAGCACCAAGGCAGTGATCACACAGTACCCTAATCCATGAGAATCAGCCTGGTTTGTTTTTACCATCTTCATTTCTTTGAAAATCTGACATTTCCTTCCCCACTCCATTTCTGAGAGTGGCATTTTGCTCTCTTGGCTGTCAGCTCTGGGGGCTGTGGAGTTTTGTGTCCTGCTTTATCCCCTGGGTCTCATGGTCAGCACTTCCACATTGGTCCAGGCCCATCCTAAGCTGCTGTGTAGGTTTGTGTAACCTCTGCATTAAAACACACACCTGCTCATTCACCTGAAGGTCGCATAGTATTTTCTGATCTCTTACAGCAAAGTGGAAGGGAAAAAGCAAAGTTCAGAGATATAAATATGCTGGTAATTGCAGGTATAGAGTAAACTCATAATCCAGCTTTTGTAGCCATGGATTTAATGTTTCTGAAGCACAGTTCTCAGAGCCAGTGTAATGAACAGATTTAAAGTTAAATTTTTTTAAATTTCCAGCAAGTATTCATGTTGAATTATCCAAATGACTCTGTAGAGTAAGGAGCTAGACAAACAAGATTTTAAAAGATTTTTTTCCATCTACAAGTAATTGTAACTTGAGCACAATTGTGCATTCGTAGGATTGTGATCATAAACACTGTTTAAGTGCAATACATAACACTGAAGGAGCATTCTAGCTGTGTTTATGAAGCACTGCTTGGGTACATAGGGTTGTTGACAGTCTTGTGGTGTTGTTGCTAGGTAATAATCAGGATATCTATGCTGATTATGGGATTAGGTTTGAAGCACAAATGTCTTTGACTCATGAGGTAGATCTGCTTTGTGAGTGAAGCCTGGGCAGCCTGTGGAAGGCTTGTGTTGTCCTCCACTCTCCAGGCAGGATGCTTCCATCCTCTGGCAGCTTTTTGCAAATTCATTTTTGGAAAGAACGAGGGATTCTGCATGCCCAACTTTCTTTCCAAGTAGTCTTTGTGTTATAGAATGAACAAGCCAATACTGACCAGGAAAGATGTGTGTAAAGATGAAGGGTTTTATCATTGAGGGAAGATGTGTGTAAAGATGAAGGGTTTTATCATTGAGTGCCAAATACTCTGTTCAGAGTTGAAAACACATAGAATAGCTCATTAAAATCACTGTTGATTTGTAAGAGATTCTTTAAATGAGAAAAGTACAGTAGTCTCCCATAAAGGGTTAACACTTTAGCTGCTGTTAGCATTAATATCAATCCTGTAAGGTATTTGAATGGTATAAGGCCATTAGTTGCTGGCACAGCACAAGAAGTGATGTACAAAGGAGATGTAGCAGTGGTTATCAGTAGTTCTTTCATTTCAGATATTTCCACCTTCCTGGCACAGCTTCTATCCTCTCTGGCAGTGAAACTGTCACCCCTGTTCTAGAGAGGGATGGTCCAGAAGCACCAGGTTAAAAAAAAAAAAATGCAGAGGAAAATACAATTGTTAGGAAGGCAGTAGGTTGAAGATCACTGCTCAGCTGGTGTCTCCCTCCATGAATGCCAAGCATAAAAGTGGGCTTGCAAAGAGAACTACCATTAATGTTTTAAAACAGTCACTGGGCAGGCTCAGGCACCATGGTTGGATGTTGCTGGAAACCTGCAGTGCCACTGTTGCCTCCTCAACTGAGGTGACAGCTTAAAAGGTGATGCTCTTTGACACTTTTCCACCAAAAGTAAGAAAGAATAAATTTGACAACTAATACAGTGATGTAACATCAATACATTAATATTTGCTTTGGCTGCATGTTGTGGGTTCCCTGTAAAAAATGTTAAAAACTTCAAGTGGCTTTAGGAGCACTGCAGCAGCTACAGGAATTCTGACACGTTAGGGCAGATGGGATTGTGTAAACTTTAATTAGGGCTTGGGAAGCTGAACCACACTGATAAATAAAACATGTTAGCAGCCTCACCCAACTGGTTGCAGTTCCAGTTCCTTGCATGTTAGTGATTCAGAAGGGTGAGACTTATCTTGCAAAACACACCTGAAATGAACTTGAAAATAGCTTTTCCTTCATCTGGTGTTGAACGAACTTTAAAAGAGGAATTTCCCCCTGCCTGCCAAGTCTGTACAAATTAGTTACTTCACGATTCTGAAATGCCTGGTGCATTCCTAGATTTGATGTATTTGCTGATTTTTAAATGGAATTAGGTTTTGTAAATATTTTGTCTGCCCCATTTCAGTGGGTGTCCAGTTTCTATAAAACCTGAAGAAATGCTGTGTCAAACCCCTGTGTTTAGCCATGGTTTATCCTATAGCATCTCCAGCACTAACTAACAGCAATTACAGTTTGAGGGAGCAGGGAGAGATTGCTTAGGGTTATTTTCCAGTTAACATTGTGTGTGTTTTCCTGCTTTTAACATGGAAATACAATTTCCTCCAAATAAATGAAATAATTTGTGGTGCCAAACACTTCAAACTATATTGCTAAGCATTGCCTCCTCTTATTGCACTAGTTTGAAAATTCAGTTTTTGATCATTTACTGTCCTTTTGATGGCCTTTTAACTAGATTTTTCCCCCAAACCATTTTCTACTGCTGAAAAATGCTTGTCCCCTTTTGATTACATCACAGAAAACTCAAAGAATTTTACAACAGACTGTGGGTGAAAGAAGCACTATGTGGGGTGAAGTAATAAATCAAAATAATCGGATTTTAGTATGTTTCAGAAATTGAAGATTAATTTATAATTGAGATGTGATTGTGTATTCTTATGGAGTGAAATACTGGAATATTCTTTTATAAGAAAATTTAACCCATGTAATCTTAAATTCTGCAATTAAATCTATCTCTATAATTGATATATAATAAAATAAATTATTACCCAAAATCGAAATTTTACAGTTGAAGAGCACACAATGAGCTATGTAAAAATATGATCTATACTTTGTGAATCGTTTTATAAGAAGCACTTTCCTATTACCAACTAGCATGTGAATGAATTTTAGATTCTCTCATTTGTTATGATCTGTAAAAATGACATTTCTTCAATCTGTCTGTTAACAGATAAATCCATCCTACAAATGCTGAAACAAAGCACCTTATACTATGCTGCTTAAACTTGCTTGTAATTGCACCTTTTGTTATCTGCAGAGTTTTCTTAATGAGTATTCTTGTGTGAAATCATTGTTCCCTGTGGGTCTGGGGGACAGTTAAATAACCTACAGCATCATTTACTTAGTTTCTCTTTCAACACAACATTGTATTGTGACTTTAGTGCTTCAGAAATAAATGCTAATTTCATTTGTCTGCTTTGGTTGTGTATAATTTATTTATCTTATACAAAATCAAATCAAGTCCATTGTAAAACTCGAAAAATTTGAAAATTGAGAGTATTTTTGCTAGAAGCCTAATTCTTTCCCTACTGAAGTAGTCCCACTTCATATTTAACTATTTTAAAGTAATTTTGTCTTCAAACTAAGGTACATTTTACTTTGAGCTATTCTTTAACCTTGGGTATGCATTTATGTATAGCAGCTAATCTTGATGCTTGTTGCTTTAATTATTTAATTATTAATATGTTCATGTACCTTAGAGGAACAGCAGCAAAGAAACAATGAAACAGCACCTCACCTGTAGTTGTGGAAGTTGCACATCTTGCACTGGTTTTGTACTATATAACATTTCTATTTCTCTAGGAGTTGTAACTTTAACTTAAACAAGTTATTTCTTGTTAAATAGACAGCAACCCTTACCTTCCATCAAGCTGACAAAAATTCACATTTTAAGAACAAAATACACTTCAAAAACTCATGTGAACCTTAGGTCAGCATCTGTATGTAATTCCAGCCTTCCAGACTTCATTGCATTTTGTACTGTAAAACCTGAGATAATTCCATTTAAAGGAAGTGTAGAATTCTATTCACAAAAATCAAGTTTAACTGAAAACTTGTCCTATATAAGCAGTGTTTTTTTAAAACATGTAATTTCAAGTTGAATTTCCTGGCCTGGCAGTGCTTGCAGTGCAATATTCACTGCAGTATTGCTGGGCACTGAACTTGTTTCTATGGAGTGAAGCTCTGGAGATGTTTCCTTGGGTCCTGTAAGGACCCGGCCACCCAACATCAAAGTTCTGCTTCTTTGCAGCCTTTTCAGTCGCAGCTCATTAACAGATGACAATTACTGTGCCTGGCTTATCAGCTGGCTTTGTGCTTTCATTGTTGAACGGCATAAAGCAGAATTTCCAGCTGACAAAGGGGTCTGTGCACCACCCTTCCTCTGTCAGCTCCACGTCGTGGCACCGGCACCAGTAGGCTGCTGCCAGGAGAAAGCTGTTGATGAAGCACAGCCAGGGCACGTTCATCTCCACGTAGGCTGGGATCTGCACTCCCAGGAGCAGAACCACCACCTGGAGAACAACAAACGGTGCCCAAGTGCCAAGGAAACACAGGAGGAGCCTGCTCAGGAGCTGCCACCTGAAGCAAGTGTTGTTGTTGTTAGGCACGTAGGGGAACATCAGCGCAGGCTGGCTGGAAAAGGAGAGGAGCCTGGCAGACAGCAGCATGGTTGTCACCTCCCTCCAGCAAGCCACGAGAGCCGTGCCCAGCAGCAGCACCATGGCCCACGACACCGAGGAGCTCTGCCAGCTGCCAGAGAGAGGGCACTGGGAAGGGGAAACTCTGTTCTGCATCTCCAGCTCTTCAGAGACAGCAGGAACTTGGAGAGTGCAAAAAAACCCAGAAATCCATATAACCACCACAGCAAATCCATAAAGTAACTTCCGAGCTGTTGTAGGGAGCTGGGATGTTTGGGAGACGGTGGTGTAATAATCCAGAGCAGCCACGAGGTACACGGGGTAAGGCAAAATGCCGTAGGTCAGAGAAGAGATCTGAGTGAAGAGGCAGATGTGGTACTCTGTGAATCGCACGCCCCAGAGCGCAAAGTCCTCAAAACAGAAAATGAAACACATGCTCAGCAGCAGTGTGAAATCAAGGAGCGCCACTGAAACGCAGAAGCATCCCATAAAACTGACTTTCACAGGTCTTGGCTTAATTTGCAACATGAAGAAATCAAGGAAGACTTTTCCAAGCATAATCAGGACCAGCATGTAGCTGATTTCAAGAGGTTGGCTGGCGTGGGTGCAGTGGTGCTGACCAGAACTATTTTCACAGTGTCTGGCAGCCATCCTCCAGTGGTGAAAACAGCAAAAATAAAGTCACAGGGCACAGTGCTTCATCTCTGAAAAGAAAAAAAAAAAGTAGAAATTTATTTCTCTGTGGCTCTACCAATTAGTTACATCATAGCAACCACCCAGTTTGTATTTTTCAGGCCCCTTAATGAAGAGTAAGAGCCTCACTTCTCATCATTAGGTTATCAAGAACTGCCTAAATTTTGAGAGTTAACATCTGAGTTTTAACATTCTTGAGAGTTAAAAGGTCAGCATAATTTACTTATTTACTTTTCTAGCTAATGATCGAAGGAAACGTTTAGGGAAAGGGAAGACATGGAGAGGTCTTTCTGTCCAGCTGGCCAGAGGAATGGAGGTTTCAGAGGTCCTGCATATTCTGAAAAAATTACAGGACAGAAATCATCCAAGACACTGCAGGAGATGCTGCAGCACAGCCTCACAGTTTGTTATGCTCATAGAATCTGTAGGATCGAGATTGCAGAAATATCTTGAAAGCAGGAAAAGCATCAAGCATCACCTCCTTTTTTGGTGGAAAAATCCTGGAACTCCGAGACAATCCAAAGCACAAGGGCTCCATTAGTGAATTGGGGTTTTTGTTCATCTCTAAGTACAATGACAGAGACCTCAGAACAGCTAGTTTTCCCTTCAGACTAGCACAAGTTTCTTTATGATAACTCTTTTCCAAATATTAATTCCTAAGGAAAACAAACATAGGGTGGCTCTGTGTATGTCAGCAAGACAACATGGGACAGTTTTATCTGAAATATTCTCTCTTTTCTTCAAGAAGCAGGATGGAGTCCATGATCCCACTGAAAGCAAAGAAGAGTGGAGGAGCCAAGGCTGCTGTAAACAGGAACTGACTCCTAGCCCTGTGTTAACAGCGAATTGCTTCCATTTAAGCAGACACCTGCATTTTGTGACCAGTTTGCCAGAGTCAGTCAACATTTGTGTTAGTGCACGTTTGAGTTTGAGTGTCCTGAAAGCAGAGTTAGAGCAACTACAAGTCCTTGGCAGCACAACCTGAGATGCATCCGTGGAGTTCATTTACAAGGCTACCTGGGCTGGCCGCTTCGCTCTTCATCTGCACAAGTGCATCCTCTGAAACCTGATCTGGCTTTACAGTACGGCTTAATTCCGGATTGTGCCTTCATGTGCTGGATGCTGCACTTGAGCCCGCAGAAGGGAGGGAGTCTGCACGCAAACAGGGTCCCGTTCAGTAAGAAAATAATAATAGTAGTAGTAGCAGTAGTAGTAGTAGTAACAGTAGTAGTAATAAGAATAAGAATAAGAATAAGAATAAGAATAAGAATAAGAATAAGAATAAGAATAAGAATAAGAAATAGTAAGGCGGAATCACCTGTCCTGGGCCGTGCGGGCACAGCTCCCATCCTGCGCTCAGAGCGCCGCGGCTGCCGGCGCCTCCCGCTCCTCGTCCCGGCCGCTCCCGGCCGGGCTCCGCCGCTGTCCCCGGCCCTCCCGGCGGGTTCCCGCTCCCCTCCGGAGCCAGAGGGAGGGAGGCGGCCCGGGGGGCTCCGAGGGGACGGCCGGGCTGTCCCCGCCCGGCCCCGGCCCCCACCTGCGGCCGGCGCTCCGCGTCCCGCCCGGCGGTGCCGCCGCCCAGCGCGGAGACCGGGCGGGACCGGGCGGGACCGGGCGGGACCGGGCGGGAGCGGCGGGCGGGGAGCGGCGGTGCGGGCTCGTGTGGAGGGAAACGGGCCTTAGCACAGGTAACATAACGAGTATAACACATGCAGCACGCGTAACACAGCTAACACAACATGTATGACATGTACCGGCTATCAAGAAAACACGTCACACACATGACACACATAACGTATAGCACACATAAACATAACACATATAACACACAGAGCACATGTAACACATAGCATTTAGCACACATAAGCATAAATAACACATATAACACACAGAGCACATGTAACACATGGCATTTAGCACACATAAAGATAAACAGCACATATTACATAACACATGGAGCACATGTAACTCATGGCATTTAGCACACATAAATAACACATCTAGCACACAGAGCACATATGACACACAGTACATATAACACAAAATAACTGCCCCAGGGAACAGGTTCCCTGAGTTGTGTTTGATCCCCTAGCAATGGGAGGTGAAGCAGCCTCATGGTGCCCCACTGCCGAGGGCAGCATGGTGGGATGCCCAGATCTGTATAAAAGTGGCAGATAGATATTTTGGGTTCTAAATGTGCAACGTATGTGGGGAAAAAAGGCGATGGTGGGGCATGAGGGTGCTTCAGCAGGAGCCCTCGGGTCCCTCAGGACTTGGCTGCATGGCAAGGAACACAGGATGCTGCCTCTGGGAAGCCCTTTGCCCACACGGTGGGTATTGTTTGATGTATCTTTCTGTATAAAAGAATCAAGTGGCTGGCAGGACTTCTGAGAGCAACTCATTCTCTGGAACGAAATTCAGATGTAAGGTGTGATTTTCCCCCCCCCCTCCCCTATTTTTTCTTGCCCCTCTCCTCCCCCCCTTCCATGGTTTGTCTTAAGGATTAAAGAACCTGAAGGGAAAAAAGGTTCTGCTGTTTGTTAGGTTTGGGGTTTTTTATAAAAAAACAAGATGATCAGTACTCTGTAAAACCTGACAGATTAAAGTAATCTTCAGCAGCATTCATGCTGACCATAGTTACTTATCCACACAGTGTTCATTAGGACTGTTACACAAATTGGAGTTTAATACAAAATGTTTACACCTGACAGAGGTATTGCACCTCCTGAGCACCCAGTCCACCCACAAATATCTGAATACTGATGCTTTCATAGTTGTTTTCTTCTTAGTTCTAACCCAGGGCAAGGCAATGAAAGTGGTTTTCCCAGTAGGAGCAAATGAACTGTTTGGATGTCTGTGTTTGTTTCTGTTCATGTCTCTCTTTCTGACTCCAGAAACTGCTGCACAGGCCTGTATGAGGAGATGCCTGGATGTTGGGAAGGAGGAACCAGGAGGGGCAGGGACAGTTTAGACATTTTTTTCTGCTGATAAAGATTCCAATGAGTGTGTGAACTCCAGACTGTGTCAGCTCTGTGCTCAGTGAGCTTTCTGGAGGAGTTCCTCAGTGGGCCCCACAGAGCTCAGCTCTGCCCACATTATATCCCCTTTTCGTGTTGTGTCTACTTCTCAGCTTCCCCTTTCCCCTCCACCACCACGTGAAAGTTTGCATTTAACTCACTGATTACTCTTTGTTTTCTGCTTCTGAGTGCTGTATCTCATCTTCCATCCCGGAGAAATGATGGTACAAAATTGGATATCCTGGAAATCAAATGCAGGACTTGGTGCTGGCAGGTCCTTGCTAAGTCAGGAGCTGCTCACTCCATGTTGGACAAGGGCTGCCTCTTCCTTCACAGGAAAACTTGCAGGTACATGACAAGCACCATGTGCTAAATTATACCTTGAGCCCATCTTGCTTGGTTAAAGAGGCTGCATTTATCTCCATGAGCAGCAATAGAAAGGTTTAAGGAATTTGTTTATATTTGCATGGAGGCAGCTGTGTGTAAAAACAAGACAGGAGACTCCTCCTCGAGGAAAGGAATACAGAAAATAACAGAATCTCTTCTAAAAGCTATTTATGTGTTAAAAGCACAAAGAGTGATTCTGTGTTTTCTGTTTAAGATATTTGCATAGAGCTTCCTTCCTTTTTCAGGGTTGTTTCCTGCTGCTGGTTGCTCATATTTTTGATTCTGGTCTTCAACTCAATGGAAAGAAATGGAAATGGAAACTCCTGTTTCCTGCTGGTCCTTTCCTTAGGGAAAAGGAACAAGAAAAAAAGACTACCTCTAATTTCAAACCTAACAATAATCTTCTGAAAGAAGCAGTGGCTGAAGAAGCTGTCCTCACTGAGGGTGGGCTCTACCCTGTCCTCCTTGCTATGCTGGAGCTCAGCACTGCAGCCCCACGGGTGACTGCAGCCTCTGAAATCACTGAGGAAGGGCAGGAGGGACCAGCAGAGTCCCTGCACATTGCTGCTGCCTGAATTAGGGCAGGAGGTTTCCTCCAGACAGGGGCAGGTTCAAATAATGACTACAACTCCTTGACAAGGAGGTGTGGGCTGTGCTTCCTGTGCAGTTAGAGCTCAGTCTTTACTTTCCTCCTGTTTGAGATGTGCTGTGCTTCAGAAGTTCATTGCAGCCTGTCCCTTTATTGTGTTGAGCAGAGGAGTAAATTAAAACCTCACCTCTGTGCGTTTCAAGCAATTTATGTTGGCATCTTGGACACCTCGAGCCCCGTGGGCAAACACAGGGAGATAAATACATCTTTATGCATCTTGGTGTCACGTGTGGGGAAAGCTGCACACTGTGAACTCCTGCAGAGATGATGATGATGATGATGATGATGATGATGATGATGATGATGAACATGAAAGTTCCCACTCAAAATGAGGGGCTGGGGGTGACTCACTCTGGAGCAGGATGGCCCCACAGCCAGGGCAGTGGACCACTGGCATGTCCATGTGGAATATTCTCTGGAACACATTTGTCTGTGGGATGAGTGCCAGTCTGCCAGCCTTGCCTGCATCCTCCCCTTTTCCCTGGCTGTGCCTTTAACTGGGTGTAGCCCAGCTGAGCCTGTTTAATGCCCTTGTCAGCACGGGATTAGCAACACGAGTTTTGCAATAGCCAGTGACTGTGGAGCTGCTGGTCCTGAAAGGCTGCATGGCTCAGAGAGACAGCATTTATTAAGATATTATAATTTTAATAGAATATTTAACTAATAGAATATGTAACCAGTAAAATGTTTAACCAACTTTCTTTTTAACAAACTTTACTTTTAAAGAAAAAAGCTTGACTGATGTCCCATTTGCAAGATGTTTTAATTTTCAAGAACCTTTTAAAAGTACAGACAGTATGTGATGGATCTTCATTTTGATCACTTGAGGTGCTCATCTTAAAAGCAACAAGTTTGTTCTTAGTAAGATCTTGTTGAGGAACAAGAAATGCATTTCTATAGTAATTTTAATTTGAAAGCTTTTAAAAAATATAATTCTAATTCTAGAATTAGAATTCTAGA